AAAAAAAACAAAGTGGCAATGAAGAATAACAAATTCGTAGAGCAAACAACTGAACAAAAACAAGAAAATCCAACTGCAACTCCATTTTAGATAATTACAAAACTAGGGGTAAGATAGAGTCAGTCAATGAGCAGATAGTTGCTCGGGAGGATGGAATCCCAGAATTGAGTAGACTATAAAAGTTTTACTAATAAACTGCTGTTATCTCTGGTTCACTTAACAACTGGCGAGCGGGGACCATGATCCGACATATACTGCGTACAGGTTTCTGTCTTGTTCATCACTTTTGTTTGTTGAAACTCCTTCAGTACTGCTGATCCATCGCTTCCAGGTAATAGCAAGAAGATCACCGCTGATGAAAATTGAAAAAGTTCGAGAATTTGTAAACAATTACAAAAAAGAAGCGAGGATAGCTGAAATGTCAGAGCGAATGTGATAATAAACAAAATGACCAGCTCTTCACAATTCGTACCATGCACGGTATGAACCTTCGAGGAGCTCTGGGAACTCTTTTTCACTTTTCGACTGCCCTTTTCGGATTTTCGATACTAAGTTGTAGGGAGAAATCTGATTCCATAAATTGCTAGTGAATGAAGGCTGCTCGAAATTTCAGCGTCTCAGAAGGTGCTGGTTGGCTCCTGTGTGACGAATTCCAGGTTTGTCCTAGAGCGTTAATTGGAAAGGATATTATAGCGTTCGCTGCTGCTTGTCGACCACAGTCTCCTCCATATGCCACTTGAAGTCAAACCTGACCTTCTCCAGACAAAAACTGAACATCATCTCTTTTTGAGACCCCGTGGTGCCAAGAAGATTTCTTCTCCTAGCACTTTTTGTGGAAGCAATTTTTTTTCCACAATTCGCCAACTTATTTTGGCAAAGTGAAGCGGAGTGCGTGAGGCTTTCAAACGTTTATATTGTGCAGCAATTGAAGAAATCGCTGAAAGCTAGGTCACTTCACCTTCAGTCTGACTAGCCTCGGCATTTCGGCTCCTTTCTTTGCGAGTTTTGCATTTTTCTCGAAGCTATAACCTTTCTGCCACCATCCAGGAACGAAAGTCATTCAATAGTGAGGGAGTTTGAGAAATATTATACAAGAGAGAAACACGTAGTGGAATGCAGTGTACATGGATGAACAGAAGAGCCGCCCGTGCTAATACATTCAGAAGATTGCTCTATCTTCGTGATGAGGTGGCGCGATGACATTTCCTCCTAGCCACTTTGATGAGTTTGCAGTAAGACACGCTTCGCAGTAAGACATAATGGGTGACAGAACAGTGACTCCTCCTGGGAGCAGAAAAGAAATGGTCTTGTTGAAATTGAACACTGGCTCGAATGTTTTTTGCGCTCTCCTAGAAGAGCGTGACGCCCAATTCATTGTGAGTTCAAGTCAACAGTACCGTAAGTGTTTTCAGCTGCAGAACAAGGTCAACCTTCGTGCGCAACTGTGGGCAAGCTAGGTTAAAGGAGGGGAGCGGTGTTCAGCATGAAAAATGCATACATTGCCGGTGAGGCCCAATTGCTGAATGAAAAGGAATCGAACCTGATTTTACGTCGAAACCTTCTTATGTATCATGGATCACGAGATCGGTTCATGTTGTTTGTCCGAGATGTTTGGAACGGCACGGTGAGGGGCGTGAGATCATGTCGTCACAGAGTTCTTACGCACCCTGAAGGTCGATCTCTCAAAATATTACATGTTTCACCACATCTAAATTTCTCATGGTCAAGTCGATCAGTACCAGTACCAGGAGGCAAGTACCAGTGAGCAGCAGAACCTACCATAAGAGAAGATAATGCGAGTCAACTTTGAAGCTGAAACTGAATGCGGTTGAAATTATGAAAGCTATCTCACTTTTGACTCAGTTATCAAATTGCACAGCGAGTTGACCACTCCACTGCAGGACACTTGCTTAGTCTACCTGAAAAGGAGGCACAAAGAAAAACCAAAACATTGCCACACTGTTGTGGTTTGAGATACCGTCACCTTAATGGGCAAACTTCACATGCACGTGCCAAAACTTCAAATATGCTGGGAGCAATTTAATTCATTTCGCTCTTCCTCTGACGAGCTGTGATAACGTTAGCCTCTGAGGCTCAGCGAGTTGATGGCTGAAGATCAAAGAGTATCTATCAGGAATCAAACAATGATAGAAAGTAAATAAAGGGAACAAGCAAGGATTTTAATATCAAAAGGTTGAATAAGAATATAAATTTAGGACAAGTCACGTTATCATTCGAGTAACTCAGAACAATATAATTAAATGCGCAGCGAAAATGGAGCAGGGTATAGTACAATGCGACAACAATCAAAGAGCAAGCGAGGCCGATAAATGACAATACGGAGAATACTTAAGGTGTAAGAGGAGATAAAGCAAATGTAACTAGTACGGACTGTTAAGTGCAACGTACTAGACACAAATTCAGGATACATTCAACGACAGTTTCCGCGATCAAGTAGCACGTGAAATGTCTCTGTGCCTTCGACATTCGGTTCCGCATTTCGCATGCAGAGAATGTACCACATTCGTCACTCGAAACGACGAAATCGGAATAGAAGCATAGTTATTGCAACCTCTGTTATTTTAAATATGCAAGATAACGCCCTACACGCGGAATTACGTGTGTGCATTATTTTGCTTAGAGCGTCGAAGGACGATTCTGTGCTCGTCGATGAGAATCTTAGCTTGTCGAATCTTGTAGATGTTATGCTTTCCCTGGATACGTTTCTGAAAACAATATTCTGATGGCAACCTCTTCGCAAAGTGAGATAGGTTTGCGCACTGCTGAAATTCAGCAGCGATGCAATCGATTCTGTGAAAAAGTTCGCAAAAGTTCGTCCTCCATTGCTTACCGTAGTCCGTCCTTCCACCGATAGAGTTTTTGAAAGCTATTTTCTGTTTTATTATTATTGCTTTACATGTTTTTTTTGATTGTAGATGGGATCAGTTCCGGAGGATGCGAGGAAATACTTTAAAGGTACGGTCCGCGATCAGGTATAGAAGTTGAAAATATGGGTCGGGAGGGTAGTGTGGCCCGCGACGAACAACCTTGTACCGGTTTCGCGGCAAAAAATTGTAAGGGAGGGGCGCTATAGCGCAATATAGGTTCAGTGACGCCTCCTTTTTTCCAGTGACTCCGCCTCCAGACTCCGCCCTCAAGGCCGCCTTTCAGTGAAAAACGAAGCTGCAGGACGAAAAAGCATGAAAATCGTCACTTGTACGGTCGTAGAGTTCTTATCGGGGAATCAGCTGTGCGGATGAGGGCGTAGTGTTGAAGATGGAGGTAATTGGGCACGTACAAACTGGGATCGAAATGGGGTTCTATTGGGGCAGTTAGCATATTTTTTTCTGCTTTATTCATTATTGAATTATTCCCAACCTTGTCGTCTATCTGCAAACTGCTAGTCCACTATCTGTGATGGCGAATGGTTGCGGGCTTTGCCTTTAAGGCTAGGGAATGCGCAGAGGCCGGAGGGTGTCGAATCGCCAATAATAAGATTTTTTTGTAACCACTGTCTAACAAAATATCAACCATGTCCTCAATTTCTGTTGGAAAACAACAAAAAGTGCTACAGTTATAGTCCTCGCAATAAAAACAGTAGGGCCGCCAATAACAGGCTAAAGTTGTCTCTCCCTGCGGTATATCTTTTTTGTGCTTAAAAATGTTCCTTACAATGACGGAGAAGCTGATAGTTTGAGTGTTGAATACAGCAAGCCTGCCTTTTTGGAATATGTAATTACTATCACCATGATGCTCTCACCAGGGAAGGTCAACAGGTCAGTCCGGCCATTTGCAATATGATGTACACCGCTGTGCACGTCTTGTGACGCTGAGCTCAAAACTTTCTTTGAAATTTGCTGAACGACTCTCTGAACAGAGTTATGGAGGGTTTTCTCCCCGCCTTGTTGTTTCACATGCTATCTCATGGAGTTGTGGAAGCGTCTTCAAATACATGAGGAGAGGATAATCAACATCGCAGTGAAGCGCAAGAGGTAGTGATCGAGTATGACAAGCATGAAGTCACACGATCAGTTCCAATTCGCTCTTTTTTACCTTTTCTGGGACCATGGTCAACAAAGCTTCAAAGACCCCTACTCGCCCGTACGAGGACCTGCGATCAGCTTTCACCAGTGTAGACCCCTCGTGGCTTCTAAAGGTGCTTGTGCTTGTCCCTCTCGTAACACACGTCACAAAGGTTTTTGCAGTCAACTAGTGGGATATTCATGTTCAGCGGGTCAGATTACCCCTATAGATACGTTTCTAGCCAAATGTGAGACGTTCACCCAACTTCGAAAACGTGGGGTATTCTATGAGTATGTGTGAACACACTGGAGCTCACTTATCACCGATGACTATCCTTATTAGGCTGAAATACCCTTCCCTCCTCACTATCAGGAAAATTTTGAAGATGATGCCAACACGTTAGCCAGATACAGTTCTTCAAGAAAATGCATGGTCAACGAGTTATTCAGCTCGAACATCACTCATCGATGATAGGCTGGATCTAACCTCAATATTCAGCCATGACTAACCCAACCCCACATTTTTCGGAGTTAAGGAAAAATCTCAGATTTTGCTGGAATGACGTCCCCGGTGGTTATTTGACGTCGTGAACACGGATATCACACCCGTTTTCAGCGAGAGTATGTCGCGCGCTACAGGCCCTGGCCGCTGGGGAGCCAGCTCACTTTTGAGAGAAAGGCAAGAGGAACATGCCAGTATATTTCAGTAATTCTAGCAATTCATACCCGAATCTTTCGGATTTTCGGTCTCCTCTCATTCAAAATTTTCAGAATTACTTTTGAACCGAGTAATAACGCTATATCTCCATCTTGGGAGAGTGATATCAAAATGTTTATTACAACTTTCAAGAAGAAATTACACAATTACAAAAGGTGTGCAAACGAGATATTATTTTATAGATTCGAAGTGGAAGAGGGGGAAGTGCAAGCGAAGTGATGTCATCAACATAGCCAATATCGTCCACAACCTGCTTACATCTAACGACCGAATCCTCCGAATGGGCTACCATATCCACCATATGGGCTGCCATATCCATAGGGACTGCCAAATCCACCACCATATGGACGACCGTATCCATATCCACCACGGCCGAATCCCGGATAACCTCCGAACTGGCGTTTCTCTCTCAATGACCTGAAACAAAGAAATGAATTTAAGAGAAACAGAAGACTGTCGATTCAGAAGGGCTTGGAGTAGAAGAGGGTTTCGCTGTCTCTCTTACCTAGAAGGGTCTGGTCTGAAATCCTCCAGCGGTGCAGGTAAAGAGAAGACGGCGTCGACAAGCAGCAGTAAAAGGGTTACATAAAGCAGATGCATCGTTCCAGAGAAATACTTGGCACTGCTAAGTAAAGTTCACTGCAAATAACGTGAACAGGTCTAAATCATTGATTAACTGGCGAATTGAAGATCAATGTCCGGTTACAACGATGGTGTGATTGTGAACTCAAGGAAAGATTCATAAGGTTCATAAGAAGTGATATTAGGATCCACATGAATCACAGGTCGTGGATTCCAATCCCACCCTATCAGTACGAGAGTGTACAAATTTGCCATCGAAGTCATAACTTCTTATTATTAGATGTGCAGTCGTCATCCGGGGACTTGATTTGGCGGCAAGGGACGCGACGCGGCTGCGGTGTGTTGCGAGCGCGGCGATCAGCTGTTTCCAGCCTATTTTAGCCATTTTCTCCCTAGTTTACGCTGTTTTGGCTGCTTTTCTCACGATTATTTTCTATTTTTTTGAGGTTAGTTGTTCTATCGTCTATATGAAGTATATTAGGACGAGGAAAGTTTTCTTTTATTTTGCAGCCATTTTCTCCCTAGTTTACGCTGTTTTGGCTGCTTTTCTCACGATTATTTTCTATTTTTTTGAGGTTAGTTGTTCTATCGTCTATATGAAGTATATTAGGACGAGGAGTGTTTTCTTTTGTTTTGCAATAGAGTGTTTTTGCGATTTTTTCAGCTATTTGTTCGATTGTCTGCTTAACTGTTTAATTGTACGCAAAAACCAGAAGAATCTCAATCATAATTTACTTGTGAAGACAAGAAACAACTAATCGTGAGAAAAGCCAAAACAGCGTAAACTAGGGAGAAAATGACTAAAATAGGCTGGAAACAGGTGATCGCCGCGCTCGCAACACACCGCAGCCGCGTCGCGTCCCTTGCCGCAATAATCAAGTCACCGGATGACGACTATACATTTAGAAGTTGTGAGTACACTCCGTGAGGTAAAAAAATGAACATAGGCATATTAGAAGTTGTGAGTACACTCCGTGAGGTAAAAAATGAACATAGGCTGGAAATTCTGGAAAATTTAGAAGTACTACTCCGTGGTATACCAGTATGGCGGGGTGTACCTGGAGCACTATCACAACAGGTTCCCCACCAATCGTAGTAGGCCCAGGATGGCATCATCGGTGGAAACAGGCTGATCTGGGCGAGCTACCTCAGGCACCGTCACACCCCCTATCGTTCGAATGGATCACGGCCGCAGAATGTTTGTCAGTCGAATAAATGCGCACTATCACTTCTTTGGTTACATTTATAGCAGCTCGTTCAAATTCAGGTCGCTGAGGAGTAGGCATTCTGCTAGTTGGATAATTTCTTCAGTTCCTTGTCTCTGCAGAAACCTTCAGTTTCATGTAATGCTGCGAATTATTATAGAAGAAACGTCATCGAGGCGCTTCAATTACAACTGCAACTGTTGCGGACGTAACTGCTATGAACTTCATTATGCATGGCTGTTTGGCAGCTTTGTAGGGGTTACCTTCAGGAGATGGTCTACACAAGCTCCGCTGAGTCCCGTTTTGTGGCCTCACAAGATGTACAGGTTCCTGCATGGTTCCTTAGATTGGAGCTAACACTATACCCACTCCCTCATCAGAACAGTGGCACTGAAGCATGCCATATGCACGACTTCGAACTCAGATGAGAGGGGCTACAGAACTCACTAGAAGAATAGATGCTACGTTGGCCATAGGACAGTTAGACGTCGGGATGTTTAGCGCTAAGCGGTTTGAGAAGATAGTGAAGGCCTTGACGTTATTCTTTGGCAAGTGCAGCCAACTGTTATATGAAGGTTTTTGTTCAGCTGGTCCGGAGTGGACGGTGCCAGGCCTGTATTGGATTTTGAAATAAGTCTATGGGTGCCAATTGCTTCAATTGCTTCACTGGAAAGTCCATCGTTTGTTCATCACTTACGTTTGCATTCCAACAGGATAGCGAGGTGATACATAGCTTCATATAAGGCAAAAAGTTCTCGAGGAACAGCTAGCCGAGCGGGATGTGGTGTCCTTAATCACCACATAGTCCACATATGAGCCCAACAATTACCCTCTTTGCCTACATCTGAGTTTTAGTGAGCGGAAGTATCGTCCGTCTTATGATCGGAAAATGTGCTGTCTTTTTGACACCAAGAACACATAGCTGATATCGTCGTTAGGGTACAGCATCGGGATGGCAGAAAAAGTGTCAGACAACTCCACTCTCCCCGAACTTATCCTCCGCTACGAAAACCCTTCTTCCATCATAGTTACCGCTTTTTCACGTTTCGCAGCTCCTTACTGCTTCTCCCCGTTTTTCAAAAGTTTCCGCTTGACCTCGAAAGTGGGGAATCTGAGGAGGGAGATGTGTAACCAAACAACTACAATTTCAGTTCTCCGAAGATCTATTTAAAAAAGCACAATCTTGTTAGCTGCGGAGCTGCGGCGTCCTAGGGCTAGGTTTGAGTTTTATTTTTTTTTAAGCGACTCGTCTCCGAAGCTGGCAGGTGACCACAATTGGTGGGGAACAAAACCTGTCTCCCCTACTACGCCCTAGCGTCTGCACAAAACAAGACTGTAGTTGTAGAGGGCATCGAAAGCGCCGCCAACTGTGAGTGATAGAGACCATTTGCATTCTGAAATAGGCCCACTTTTTAGATCGAATCGAACTTTTTTTCATACAAATTCGATCACTCTTCACGTCGGACAGTTGACTAAATAGACCACATTAGGTATTGCTGCAAACCTCTTCCTAACAATCCGCCCTTTTTAGCGGGGGCATGGTTTTTCCGGATTGGTTGCAAGGGTTCCTTTTCTCTGATTTTTTTTCGCTCTTGCTGTTTCGCCCATGCATACTAACTGAGATATATTGATCCAACATAGCTAAGACTCCGCTTTTTTTCAAGGGGATCGATGTGAGTTTCCAGATTGATAA